AAACAGAACGAAAAAAAAGCCTTTTAATTATTTTTGGAGAAACGTTTAATATAATTTCATAGCCTAATTCTCCACTACTTAAATTCTGACTGATATTTGTCAGTACATATAGTCCAGGCCCGGTATGGTCATGTGGTTAGGGCACTTGAATCGCAATCTGAGGGTCGCGGGTTCGAATCCCCGTCCCACCAAACATGCTCGCCCTTTCAGCCGTGGAGGCATTATAATGTGACGGTCAATCCCACTATTCGTTGGTAAAAGATTAGCCCAAGAGTTGGCGGTGGGTGGTGATGACTAGCTGCCTCCCCTCTAGTCTTACACTGCTAAATTAGGGACGGCTAGCGCAGATAGCTCTCGTGTAGCTTTGCGCGAAATTAAAAAAAAATATATATATAGGATGAACACTATTTATTCTATTCAACCATACAGAACATTGTTGAAAACTGTAACAATTTATTATGATCTTAAACATTATTGCAACATTCTGAGATAACAGACACTATGGTTTCAGTCTGCCATTGCATCAGCCATATTTGCAGTTAGCAGAAGAAGATAGATTTTATTGTCTCTCCCAGTATGTGATAGACAACACCAATTGAATAAATTGGCCTAACCCAGACAGGCCAAACTCAATATCCAGAAAATGTCAGACATTTACTCTTTGTGCATGTCATCAGCAAGACTAAATTGACGTTACTCAGACAGCGCTTCTGTGAATAGTGTTAAAGCTAAGATATGGTTAGCAATGAAGTAAAATAGGCTAGAAACTGTAAAAAGGAAAGAAACATACTCTTAGTTAATATGAACAAAAGTCTAGTTTAAGTAATGCTAAGAACACATGTATCTTCTACATGTTAGAAGTGTGTGTGTGTTTATGAAAACAAACCATTTATTTCCAGGTTTCTGAGGAATTTTATGACGGTTTTATGGAATGTATTTACCAGGGAAAATAGAACTAGCCACATGGCGGACTAATCAGTGCAGATAATGAAAAAAAAAAGATTGTTACTAATGTACGGAAATTTCAAATTCAAAATTTTACTGGTATGATTTCAAAAACTGCAACTTTCAGTTTCTTAGCTGTCAGGCAGAGTGTCAATTTTCTTACCCTCCCCGAAGTATACATTGAATATATAAAGTATAGAGTATTTATTTTAAGACTACTAACTTAATGTTTAGTT